TGCACTGAAAACACACTTGCTCTTGCTCACCGCGCCACCTAGCATCTATTTTTCTCTATACTTTCAACTTTTTCTGAATTTTATTAATCTTTGTTTTTTTTTTAATATATAGAGTTTTCTTTCAACAACAGGATAGTTAAACATGTTTTCAGTTTCTTGTTGGCAACAGAAAACTTCGAATATTGAGAAAAATGGACAAAATATAAGCCCCGCCCACCCACCCCTTCTCAATTGTGACGAATGTTTTATGCATAGTGAGCTAAAGGGCGGAATTTAGTTGCAAAATCCTCATTTCTTTACAAGAAATTATCATATGAAACTCATCACAATTGAGATTGGGGCGGGTGGGTGGGGCTTAATTTTTTTTCTTTATATACGTAGTTTTCTTTATATATATAATAAAAAAAAATAATTGAAAACTCGTGAAATTTCAATTCGAAAAACTGCAAAATCTAAAGATTTAAACGTTCAAAAGTTGAAAAATCGGAAACCTGGAAAATTTAAAAATGAAAACTTTAAGAGAGATCGTAAAATTAAAGAAAAAAAAACCAAAAATTGAAAGATTGCAAATTGAAAAACTGATGAAACGGAAAATTGAAAAATAAGAAATTCAAAAGAAAAATTGCAAATGGAAAAATTAAAAATTGAAAACTCGAGAAACTCAAATCGAAAAATTGCAAAATCTAGAAATTTAATGGAAAAGTTGAAAAATTGGAAAATTTAAACTTGAAAATTCGAAAAAATGAAGAAACAAAAAAACTGAAAAATTGAAGAAAAAATTGAAGTCTGAGCTGCGGGAGGGTTATTTAAGCCACTGGTTTTCACTTTATAGAGGTGATAAGAAAACAAAAAAAAAGATAATTCAGCGAAGTGGGATTTATTTGGCCGTATTTTAGGGGCGAGAGAAGTTCTGTTGAAATAACCTTCGACCAATTTTTTTATTAAAAAATCTGAAAGATTCTGGTGTTTTATTTCTAAAAGAATTGAAAGATTCTTGAGGGTCTCCAGCTTTTTTTTAGAATTTGATACTTTTCCTGAAGCCTTGTACAGTTTTATTTTTGAAAAATTTTGGAAGGAGCACAATTTCTCTTCGTATTATTTTTTTAAGATTTTGAATCAATTTTGGAGTCCTCTAGTGTATTTTTTATGAGTTTGTAAGACCCTCGAGAGCTCCTGTTTTTTTTTATTAAAAAATCTGGATGAATAGTGAGGTTTCTGGTATTTTATTCCTGAACAAAATGAAACATTTTTGGGGGTCACCCCTGTTCTTTAAAGGATTCAGTACATTCCTGGAGGCCCACAGCTGATTTATTTTTGACAAAATTTGAAAGAATTTTGAGACCTCTTGGGGTTTTTTAAGATTTTTAAATAATTTAAAAAATCGAGGAATGCTTAGCGTTTTTTTATTAAAGAATCAGAAAGATTCTTGGAGGTCCTTTGTGCTTTATTTATAAAAGAATTGAAATGTTCTTGAGAGTCCCTAGTTTTTCTGTTTGATACTTTTCTGAACGTCTTCTGCTGTTTTATTTTTGAAAACATTTTAAAGAGTCTCAAGTTCTCTTCGCGTTTTTTTTAAGATTTTAAAACAATTCTGGAGTCTGTTGTAGTTTTTCTACGAATTTGTAAGAATCCTGGGGACCTCTGCTGGTTTTTCTATTAAAAAGTTTGATAGAACATTAAGGGTTCAAGTATTTTATTTTTGAAAAAAAAAGAAAACTTCTTGGGGGCTCCCGGTGTTTATGGAGGCCCTTTGCTGATTTAGTCTTTGCTTTTTACTTCCCGAGCGTAAGCAAAGGAAGTATTGTAATCGAGTCCGTCGGCCGACTCTCTACTTTTACGTTTTCTCGATCTTTCATGACCCCTAGAAGACGAAGAAATAGGTCTCCCATTTCCGTCTGTCTGTCCGTCTGCCCGTCTGTCCGTCTGTCCGTCTGTCCGTCTGTCCGTCTGTCCGTCCGTCTGTCCGTCTGTCCGTCTGTTGTCACGGATTTTTATTAGACAGATAATCTCCGAAAGTACTCGACCGATTGTTGTGAAATTTTGTACTTATATTAAGAATATCATGTAGATGTTAAAACGCTAACCAAAATTTGTCGAATCATCCCCACCACTAAAGCGATGACGTCACTTCAAAATTGTACGTAGTAAATGGGTTTTCAATTGTATAAAATAACATAGTCCTACACATGTAGTTTACAACTCTGAATCGACTTTTCACCCGAAACGTCCAGATTTTTGGAAAAAAATCAAAATTATAAAACAACATTTTGAAATTTAATTTTTAATCTGCCAACCAGAATGCTTTGAAATGTTGCAGATGTTTTAAGGCTATAAAGAGCATCATAAATCTTTAGTCAAAAAATATTTGCTTATCCCCTCCAAAAACTTGATGACGTCAGCTCAAAAGTTTGTGGAATAAATCATATCTAAAATGTACAAAATATGATGAGTCTGTACTTGTGAACTATCACTCCATTAATATTTTTTGGATTTGCATATACAGGGTGACTCAAAAAAATTAATGAATGCGTAAATATATTTTATTGATTTAATCAGGAACTACAAAACCGAATGCTCTGAAATCTTGCAGATGTTTTAAGGTCATAAAGAGCATAATAAATGTTTAGTCAAAATATATTTGCTTATCCCCTCCAAAAACTTGATGACGTCAGCTCGAAAGTTTGCCGAATAAATCATATCTAAAATGTACAAAATATGATGAGCCTGTACTTGTCATTTATCACTCCATTCATATTTTTTGGATTTGCATATACAGAGTGACTCAAAAAAATTAATGAATGCGTAAATTTATTTTATTGATTTAATCAGGAACTACAAAACCGAATGCTTTGAAATCTTGCAGATGTTTTAAGGTTATAAAGAACATAATAAATTTTTAGTCAAAATATATTTGGTTATCTTCTACAAAAAACTGATGACGTCAGCTCAAAAGTTTTCCGAATAAATCGTATCTAAAATGTACAAAATATGATGAGTCTGTACTTGTGATTTATCATTCCATTCATATTTTTGGATTTGCATATGCAGGGTGACTCAAAAAAATTAATGAAGGCGTGAATTTATATTATCGATTTAATCAGGAATTACAAAACCGAATGCTTTGAAATCTTGGGAATATTTTAAAGTTATTATAAGCATGGTAAACTTTTGTTCAAAATGTATTTGTTCATCCCTCCTAAAAAAATTGATGACGTCACCCTTAAATTTTGCTGAATAAATCCTATCTAAAATGCAAAAAATATGATGAGTTTGTACTTGTGATTTATCATTCCATTCATATTTTTTAGATTTTCTTAAGAGGTGGTTCAAAAAAATTAATGAAGTCAATTTATTTTATTGATTAAATTAAAGGCAACACTTATTATTAGTATTACACCCCAACCAACCTAATTTGGTAGACACAAAATTTGTTAAAGGAAAAACTCGGTTGAAACATAAGGGTAGCACGCTTATTTACATCGACTTTAACATTACAGACCTGCATTTGTTTTATGCGTTCACTTGATTCCGCGAATGTGAAATAGACATGTTTATAATCAACCAATTGTGAATTTCACCGTCAAGAATTAAAATAAAACCCAATGTTTTATATAATAAGCGGAAGTCGAAGCAATAAAACCGACGGTCGTTTTGTTTACAGTTTCTGTGTTTGGCTCTCACGTATGCTGTTACGCCTGTCATCTTAAATTAACAATGTTTATACATACACGATTTTCAGTTGCCTCTGATACGTAGGGATACGTGAGTAAATTGTTTCGTTATTTTATTGATTATTACAAATCAATATTCAAACGACCCAATTCATTTTCCCGAAAATTTGAGAATATAATAATTTTATTCTTAGTATTACACTACATCTATCCCAACTGATATACGTGTCCTTGCAAAAATGTTGATGACGTCATCGCAATTTTTTTTTAAATTCCCACTACAAAAATGTAATGAGAAAAAAAACACAATAGGCATGCAGTCGTCAAGTTTCCGACAGCGAGGGAAGTACTGTCTAAACTCTTTAGACCAATTTTTTTTTTAATATACAGAGTTTTCTTTCAACGACAGGATAGTTAAACATGTTGTCAGTTTCTTGTTGGCAAACGAAGACTTCGTATATTGAGAAAAAATGGACAAAATATAAGCCCCGCCCACCCACCCCTTCTCAATTGTGATGAATGTTTTATTCATTGTGACCTGAAGGGCGAAGTTTAGTTTGTACTTTCTCGTTTTTCTCGAAAAACTGAAGAAATGAAAAACTGAAAAATAAAAATTAATAATTAAAAACTGTAAAATCTAAAAATTTAAACGTTCAAAAGTTGAAAAGTCGGAAGACTGGAAAATTTAAAAACTTTAAGAGATATCGTAAAATTAAAGAAAAAAAAAAACGAAAAATTGAAAGAATGCAAAATGAAAAACTGATGAAACGAATAATTGAAAAATCTAGAAATCTTGAAAAGGAAATAACTGTTGAAATAATCTTCGACCAATTTTTTTAAATATACTTACCTTAAAAACAGTAAAAAAGTCCATGTTTGGGAAAACAGGATACATACTAGTAGTACATTCGCACTGAATTTGTCTTTGTAGAAGTGACACGTTATTTATTTGGTGGTAGCGAAACATAAGAAATAAAAACTGAAAAATACGAGGGATGTTTGTTAAATCCGGCGGAAAAAATGCAGCCTGTCTGGCCGGAATTTATGTATCGCACACGTCGGTTCGTGCTCCATCACCAGAGTATAACGCGCTGAAAATACGCTGGTGCTATGAATATGAGAGCAAAAGCGAAGCAACGAGAACAGCACGTATTCGAAAAGCTTTTTCTTGATGTAATTAGTGGACGGGTTTAAGCTTCATCCGGAAAAGTCTGGGTTTTTATCTGCTATAAAAGTTACAGCTTCAGGTGCATTTTCTAACACTGAGTACTCCTCTTTCCAAAATATCACTAATCAACCCCACCATTCAAACGCAACCTCCTTCCAAAATTCGTTTATTCATAAAAACCACCCCTAATGATTATACAAAAGCACCTCGAAATCGTCGGCCGTTTGCAGCGAGCCGGCGTGGACATAATTCATTTTAGCGACCTCCAAAAACCCGTCGATCGAGCCCACTCTCACGGCCACGTGGTGGATGAGTCGGCCGACGTGCATCATCCCCTTGAACACCAGCTCGCGGTGGTTGTAACCCCCGATGACGGGGTTCTCGCTGGTGACGTTCTGGTGGAAGTACTTGGAGTTGGTCTGCAGCCACGAGAACTTGTGTTTGTTTTTCGAGCACAGGATTTTGACGACGGCGGTGGCCTTCTTGAGGCCGTAGGACGAGGCGAAGATTTCCTTGGCGTTGGGGAAGATTTGAACCACGAAGAGGCCGTCGGTGTGCATGTAGGCCTGCCCGATGTAGGTTTCCTGGCCGTTGGAGTCCTTGCCGGCGGGGACGGCGTCGGCGGGGATGGTCCATTTGTAGTCCCTCCAGTAGTAACCTATCAACAGTTAAAATAAACGAAAGTGGTTTTGTTTGACTGAGTTTACCTCTGTCGATGCCGCTGCAGGGTACATTGTTGAAAACGATGACTGTGAGGACTAACAGGACGAATGTTCGGATCTCCATTTTCGAAGAGTTTACCACACTGATGGTTGTCGGGTTTTGTTTAGCTATTTATTTCAAGACTGTTATCAGGATTCAGTTACGAAGTTTACAATTTATCGCGTTTCTTTTTCTGGGTGGTGTTGGGAAAGTTTGTTGACGAGGTGCCAGCAGAATATTTGTGTTTGTACTGATAGCTGTGAATGCGATTTTTATTTATTTTGATGGTTTACTTGCTAAACAAAAGAAGAATGTCAATTATTTGTGTGTTAGTTGGATTCGAGGATGTTTGCGTACAAATTAATGGACTGACGATTTATTTGTGGAAGGATTTATAAAGATAAATCTCGTATCTAGTGGGTTGGGAAATTTTAAATTTTGGAACTTTCGCTTTTATTTACAAACATATTATATCTCATATGTTTCAATGTGCGGTTATTTTTATGTTTTAGAAGCATTGTGTTCTATTTTGTATTGATTGTTATGTATTTTTAGCCACAATTTTATATACTTTCTCAATCTTTTGATTTTTCGATTTCTCGATTTTTGAATTATCCGATTTTTCAATTTTACAATTTTTTAAATTTTCGAGTTTCGATTTGTTGATTTTTCAGTTTTTCGATTTTTAAATTTTAGATTTTCGAATTTTTATTTTGATTGGTTTTTGATTTTTTTTCCGATTTTTCAATTAATCAATTTTTTTATTTTCATATTTTAGATTTTTCAGATTTTTGATTTTTGAATTTTTTAAGTTTGCGATTTTTCGACTTTTCGATTTCTCAGTTTTTTAATTTCCCAATTTTTGGATATTTTGTTCAATTTTGTGATTTTTCAGTTTTTCGATTCTTCATTTTTTTTTATTTTTCAATTTTTCGATAATTCAGTTTTGGGATTTTTAGTATTTTGGCTTTTGCATTTTTTGAGTTCTGGATTTTTCGATTTCTCGATTTTTTACTTTTTGGATTTTCTATTTTTTGTTTTTAAAATTTTAAATTTGTCAATTATTCAAATTTTCCATTTTTTAACATTTCAGTTATTCAGTTTTTCGACTTTCCAGTTTTTCGATGCTAAGAATCTAAATAGGGCAAAATCGAAAAGTTAAAAATGGAAAAATTGCTAAATCGAGAGATTCAATTAATCAAAACATCGAAATATCAAACAAAAATGAAAAATCTAGAATTTTAAAAATTGAAAAATTACAGTATTGAAAAATTGAGAAATAGAATCCAAAAAATAAAAATCGATAAATTGAAAAATTCAAAAGACGAAAAATCGATAAGTGGAAAAAAACGAATTTTGAAAAATCCCAAAACGGAAAGAAATATCCAAAAATTGAGAAATTGAAAAACTGGAAAATTGAGAAATCGAAAAACCAAAAAAGCAAAGTTGAAAAATCGAAGAAGTGAAGAACTGAAAAGTCGAAACTTTGAGAAGTCGAGAAATCGGAAAACCGAAAATTAGCAACGGCAAAATTTGAAAAATTGAAAAACAGAAAATCCTGAAGAACTGAAAAATCAAAAAATCGAAAATTTAAAACATTGAACTATTAAAATATCGCAAAATTGAAACATCGGGAAATCCACACATCAAAAAATCAAACAATAAAAATTCCAAAATCAAGTTCTGGAGATTTGATTTCTCGATTTGTCGATTTTTCAGTTTTTCGATTTTTAAATTTTTGATTTTGGAATTTTTATTCTTTGATTTTTTGATGTTTGGATTTCTCGATTTTTCAATTTTGCGATATTTTAATTGTTCAATGTTTTAAATTTTCGATTTTTTGATTTTTCAGTTCTTTAGTATTTTCTATTTTCAATTTTTCAAATTTTGACGTTGCTAAGTTTCAGTTTTCCGAATTCACAATTAATCTATTTTTGTTTTTTTTTTCCATTTCACCACTTCTCAAAGTTTCGATTTTTCAGTCTTTCAGTTCTTCGATTTCTCAATCTTGCTTTTCTGGTTTTTCGATTTCTCAATTTTTCAGTTTTTTAATTTCTCAAATTTTGGATATCTCTTTCAGTTTTGGGATTTTTCAAAATTCGATTCTTCGACTTGTCGATTTTTCAATTTTCGGAATTTTTAAATTTTCGATTGCCCAATTTTTCTTTTTTAAAATTTTTCGATCATTCAATTTTTTGATTTCTCGATTTATCGAATTCAAATCTTTCGATTGTTCAATTTCTCGATTCACCAATTTTTCAATTTTTAACTTTTCTTCTCGGCTTTCGACTCCTCGATTTCTCAATTCTCTGATTTTTCGATATTTCGATTTTTGGATATCTCGATTTTTCGATTTTTTACTTTTGGGCTTTTCAATTTTTCAGTTTTCCAATTTTTCGATGTTTCGGTTTTTCAGTTTTCCGATTTCACAATTAATATATTTTTGATTTTTTCCATTTCAGGACTTCTCAAAGTTTCGATTTTTCACTCCTTCAATTCTTCGATTTTTTAATTTTGAAAATTCGAGAAATCGAAAAACCTAGAATTTTAAAAATTGAAATATTAAAACATCGAAAAGTTGGAAAAACTGAAATTCCAAAAAATATAAATCGATAAATCGAAAAATTCAAAAATTTGGAAAATTGAAAAATTGAAATATAGAAGAACTGAAATCTCGAGAAATCGAAAAACCTAGAATTTTAAAATTGAAATATTAAAACGTCGAAAAGTTGGAAAAACTGAAATTCCAAAAAATAAAAATCGAAAAATTCAAAAGTCGAAAAATCGACGAGTCGAAGAATTGAATTTTGAAAAATCCCAAAACTGAAAGAAATATCCAAAAATTGAGAAATTGAAATGAAAAACTGGAAAATTAAGAAATCGAAAAACCGAAAAGCAAAGTTGAAAAATTGAAGAAGTGAGGAACTGAAAAATCGAAACTTTGAGAAGTCGAGAAATGGAAAAATGAAAAAATTGAGAAATCTGAAAATTAGCAACGGCAAAATTTGAAAAATTCAAAAACTGAAAATCCTGAAGAACTGAAAAATCAAAAAATCGAAAATTTAAAACATTGAACTATTAAAATATCGGAAAATTGAAAAATCGGGAAATCCAAACATCAAAAAATCAAACAATAAAAATTCCAAAATCAAAAATTTAAAAATCGAAAAAATGGAAAAATCGACAAATCCAGAAATCAAATCTCCAGAATTTAAAAATTGAAGAATTGAAAAATCGGATAACTGAAAAATCGAAACATCGAAAAATTGAAAAGCTCAAAAGTAAAAAATCGAAAAATCGAAAAATCGAAAAACCAGAGAATCGAGAAATCGAGGAGTCGAAAGCCGAGAAGAAAAGTTAAAAATTGAAAAATTGATGAATCGAGAAATTGAACAATCGAAAGATTTGAATTCGATAAATCAAGAAACAAAAAATTGAAAAATCGAAAAATTTAAAAAAAGAAAAATAGGAAAATCGAAAATTTAAAAATTCGGAAAATTGAAAAATTGAAATATAGAAGAACTGAAAACTCGAGAAATCGAAAAACCTAGAATTTTAAAAATTGAAATATTAAAACATCGAAAAGTTGGAAAAACTGAAATTCCAAAAAATAAAAATCGAAAAATCGAAAAATTCAAAAGTCGAAAAATCGACGAGTCGAAGAATCGAGTTTTGAAAAATCCCAAAACTGAAAGAAATTTCCAAAAATTGAGAAATTGAAATGAAAAACTGGAAAATTGAGACATCGAAAAACCAGAAAAGCAAGGTTGAAAAATCGGAGAATTGAAGGACTGAAAAATCGAAACTTTGAGAAGTCGTGAAATGGAAAAAATCAAAAATAGATTAATTGTGAAATCGGAAAACTGAAAATTAGCAACGTCAAAATTTGAAAAATTGAAAAATAGAAAATACTGAAGAACTGAAAAATCAAAAAATCGAAAATTTAAAACATTGAACAATTAAAATATCGCAAAATTGAAAAATCGAGAAATCCAAATATCAAAAAATCAAAGAATAAAAATTCCAAAATCAAAAATTTAAAAATCGAATATCTGAAAAATCGACAAATCGAAAAATCAAATCTCCAGAATTTAAAAAATTGAAGAATTAATAAATCGGATAACTGAAAAATCGAAACATCGAAAAATTGAAAAGCCCAAACGTAAAAAATCGAAAAATCGAGAAATCCAAAAATCGAAATATCGAAAAATTAGAGGTTCGAGAAATCGAGGAGTCGAAAGCCGAGAAGAAAAGTTAAAAATTGAAAAATTGATGAATCGAGAAATTGAACAATCGAAAGATTTGAATTCGATAAATCGAGAAATCAAAAAATTGAAAGATCGAAAAATTTTAAAAAAGAAAAATTGGAATATCGAAAATTTAAAAATTCGGAAAATTGAAAAATTGACAAGTCGAAGAATCGAATTTTGAAAAATCCCAAAACTGAAAGAAATATTCAAAAATTGAGAAATCAAAAAACTGGAAAATTGAGAAATCGAAAAACCAGAAAAGCAAGGTTGAAAAATCGAAGAATTGAAGGACTGAAAAATCGAAACTTTGAGAAGTCGTGAAATGGAAAAAATCAAAAATAGATTAATTGTGAAATCGGAAAACTGAAAACTACCAACGGCAAAATTTGAAAAATCAAAAAATCGAAAATTTAAAACATTGAACAATTAAAATATCGCAAAATTGAAAAATCGAGAAACCCAATCATGAAAAAATTAGAAAATAGAAAATTCAAAAAAAAAAAAACCAAAAATCTGAAAAATCGACAAATCGAGAAATCGAATCTCCAGAATTTAACAAACTGAAAAATCGGATAACTGAAAAATCGAAAAATTGAAAAGCCCAAAAGTGAAAAATCGAGAAACCTAGAAATCCAAAATCGAGACATCGAAAAATTTAAAAACTGAGACATCGAGAAATCGAAAAATTGAAAAATCGAAAATTTAAAAACATCGGAAAGTTGAAAAATTGAGAACTGTCAAAAAATTGAAAAATCTAAAGTTTAACGAAATATTGAAAATCCAAAAAGTAAAAAATCTAGAAATCAAAGGATCCAGGAATTCAAAAATCAAAAAACTGAAAGAAAGATCCAAAGAATTGAGAAATTATAAGAATTAGAAAATTGTAAAATCGAAAAGCTAAAAA